ATATTTTAAAAAGATTCCTAGAAATGTAGACTTGTGAAGGGGAACTATTCAACCACATTTCTCAAATCATCTTACTAAATTAGTGCATCTTTATAGAATATGATTTGGCAGAATTATTTGATAAAGGAAAATATAGGAAATAGGGTTGATCTTCTGCAAATGAAAATATAACTAATGCAGTCATCTCTATCAGAGGTTTCAAATGAATACCTGTTGAGCAAAATCAGCCTGGAGACACGTTTTGAGTTTTTGTTTTGTTTTTTTCTTTTTTTTGACCACGCTGTGTTTCAGATATTTTGAATTAAGTTTCGGTGTTTTAAAAGTATGATTTTTATATTAAAAATTATATTTCTGTAAACAACAACAATTGGCTGGAGCTAATTAATTCTGTCCTCTCTGGTCAGTGATGGTCTCTTTTGATTCATCTAGTTCCCCCACTTCCTACTGTCTCTCTTATCCTAAGACCCTTATTCAGTTTGTATGCCCCTTGCCTTTTTACTATTTGATCATCTTGTTTGTACCAGGCTCTCTTAATTTATTTAAGTTAAGGCCTTAGGCCTTACAGCATTTCAGTTGATGACCTCTGAGCTACAGAATGCAATTAAACTGCTACTGCAAAGAGTGAATGCCGGCATGACCTGTTGTTTAGTGATTTCAGCGGTCATATGGCCTTCAGTGTACTTTTTAATCAATAACTGGGGGAAAAAGTGTTTTATTGTAAAGATACTTTTATTCTACATTGTTATGCTGCCCTTCCCCTAATATAACTGGGCTTAAGAGAAACTGGATAGTACTATAGAACAAATATAAACATGAGCTTGGCATAGCCTCCTAGCTTGAGCATAGAAACAGTATAAGTTATGATACTACTTTGAGACATTCTTTGTGGACATGTCTCCAGACATTTCAGCTTACAGAAAATACTACAAATGTTTTATTGACTATATTTTTTCAAAATAAACCATGATATTACTCCTTTCTGAATAGTAACTATTATTATCCAAGGAGAATTTCTTCATGCAGAACTCAAAATAATATTATAAATAGGTTTATTTTAATTTCCATTGGAATATTTTTCTTAAAACTTGAGATGTCACACTGAAAAATATAGTGCCTGACATCACAATTTTCAACATCTTTTTTTATACCATAGTATATCAAAAGGATATTACATGCTCATGATTAATCATTAATTTTGTTTTGAATTTTTCTAACATGATTTAATTCATACAGTAGACTTCCAATTTAAGTTTCTCAAACTCCTGAGGCTTCCTTTTAATGCCAACTTTAACCAGGGAGCTCTTCATTTGAAAGGAAGGCTAAGCTGCAGTTGACAGAGATTACAATGCAGTAGCTTACTCCTCTCGAACTGTGACTGGAGATGATTGAAGCATAAACCGTTTAATGTTTTTGAACACACTTGTCTATGTCTCTGTAGTTTCTGAGGAAGAAACTGCATGTACATTGAATATTTTCACTATTTTACTTGTTAAATGAAAAAGAACTTAATTGAGTTTGGAGTTCATATCCTGAATTTTTCACTACATCATGATGTGATCTTTTGTTATGGAGTATTTGTTCAAGTGAATACCAACGATGTCAGCTATCATTATGTTGTTTCTATTAGCATATCCTTGTTAATTTTCTGTCTCCTTGATCTGTCTAATATTGGCAGTGGGTTGTTAAGGTCTCCCACTATTATTGTGTGGAAGTCTAATTCTCTTTGTAGGTCTTTAAGAACCTGCTTTATGTATCTGGGTGCTCCTGTATTGGGTGCATGTATATTTAGCATAGTTAACTCTTCTTGTTGCATTGATCCCTTTACCATTGTGTAATGTCCTTCTTTGCCTCTTTTGATCTTTGTTGGTTTAAAGTCTGTTTTATCAGATACAAGGATTGCAACCCCCTGCTTTTTTTTACTCTCCATTTGCTTGATAAATCTTCCTCCATCCCTTTATTTTGAGCCTATGTGTGTCTTTGCACATGAGATGGGTTTCCTGAATACAGCACAAGGATTGGTCTTGACTCTTGGTATCCAATTTGCCAGTCAATGTCAGTAAAAGCCTCAAGTGACCCCTGGGGAGCTCTGAATGTGGAATGGCCCTGTAGAGTTGTCCTGAGTTGTGGTAAGTGGGTTTAGCCTTTATACGTCCAAATTGATATTGATTGGATGCAGGTTAGCCCAAAAAGGGTTGCAACCTTCTGCAAGGTAGCTCTTTTTTAGCCAAAGCTGTTCCAAAGAGGGCTAACCACTTAGAATTGTCTACCACTAATATTTCCAGAAGCTGAGGGAATAAATCTTTAATTCCATAAAGGGCATCTGAGTGGCGTGTCACATCTATTACTGTTTCTTGAGTACATTTCCTTAATTTTTACTTTATGAATTACTTTGAGCCATGTGAGAGGGTGAGAATTGTATTGCTTCATTGATTAAAAATTTTCTTCTAGGAGTTTTTCATTCTCATTTCATTTCAGTCAAAGTCTAAGGCATGATTCTTTATACTGAATTACTAATAATTAAGTTTCTCTATTTTTGTTTCTCCGTGTAATGAATCATTTATTTTTTCTGTGGCCTCTTTACATAATTGAATAGTAAAATGAGATTTTTTAAAAAACCTATTTTACAGGATACTTCCAATTCCTCACCTAGATTTACTACTTTTCAAAGCTGTAATAAATAGCTGGCAAAGCCATGGAAATAGAATCAGTATTTTGTGTTACAGTTCCTAAATTCTTTAAATATGCATGAAAGAACAGGGACTCATAATTTTCACCTACGCAAATATAGATTGTGACTAATAGAACGCCAGTAGAAAAAAGTTTTTGAATTGTTTTTCTAGGAGTGGTGATAAATTGCTGGTAGTTCCACCACTCCTTCTAACTGTCCCCCTTAACCATATCTTAACCCTATGTGTCACAGAGTCGTTCTTCTAATCCCATGATGCTAACTGCCTTATCAAGACAGCAAGCCTTAGATTCCTTGTGGAAAACATGTCTCCACATTTTTTTCTATTTTCAAATGGATTAAGAATTTCAGAAGTTTGATATTTTTAGTTTGAACAAATACATCTGTAAAGTAATAGCATGCTTGCCCCTTTTCTGAGCTTTACTTCTTTCAAATATCTCAGAACTTGCACTCTTGCCACCCTTGGTGATTCTTAGAACTCTCTGTGGCTGTTAATCCCTAATCGCTTTCTTACGCTGATGATTCACATTTTCAGATGCCATAAAAATGTAACACCTTTTAAACATACTTAGTATGGTAGTCCCTGTGATTATTTTTAATGAAATGCTTTAATGTAGACCCTTCTTTTCCCAAGACTTTCCATTTAAAGACATAATAATAATTTTTAGATGCCTAAGCAAATTTGCAAGAACTACAGTATACGTACAGCATGTTGTTCATAATTATCCAGCAATCATTTGAACATGTTATATTTCCCAGCTCATAGAAATAGCAGAGATAGAAAAATCCACTAGGCATGATTCCTGCCCACAGGGAGCTTTGGACAGACAGATGTGAAGCCAGAATATCATTGGAGATTGTAATCACTGCCACAGTGGAAGTAGCACAGGAGAATAACAGTAGAGGGAAAGCTATGTCTTGGGAGAGGAAGGAGCTCTGGAAGGAAGAAGACATTTCAGCCAATTTTGAATAGTCCATTCACCACGTGGCTGTGAGGTAGAAGGGCACTACAGAAATGAGAAATGACATGTACAGGGGCAAATAGATGTCAAAAAAAATGACAGTATCTGGCAACTACATGGCTCTATCTGGAACACACAGTCTTATGAGCGAGTAGCACAAAATTGAGGCTGGAAAGGTAGGTAAAGTGGCCTTCACATAACAGGTGAGGAATTTACCCTACATCTTGGAAGAAAAGGAATGAGATCAAATGAGTTTGGAATTACATGAGTGACAGTAAACAAATCGCATTCATAGTGGAATATATTTGTATATCTACAGGCAAAGCATTTTCCTTGTTGTGGAAATAAATACAGAGCTATTTGATACATGGACATAAGAATGATTCCACTTGGAATGAGGAGTTTTGAGTTCAGCTAATTATAAAAATAAACAAATTCCTTAGCTTTTAGCTTTGTCAAATTCATATGACACCCTTGCGAAAAACACATTAAAAATGTGAATGGTAGTTTTCTGAGCATATGTAATGTAGGAAGGAAAAAAAACCTTTTTTTCTTTTTAGTAATTATGATCTTCATGTTACTCTTAGTAATTTGTTTTTTAAAGCATAAAACAGTCATATCATTTTAATATTCCTATGAGTCACCTCATCATTTTAAAACCACATATATTCACTAAGTAAAATTGCCATGATGCAACATTATAATAAATGCTGCTACTAGAATAGATTTATTTGCAGTTCATCTGGCCTTTGCAATGATAAGGTGTTCGATTTCACTGTGAACCTATTTTATTTTCAAAGAAATTTTATTAAAATTATTGTACTTCTCAATAAAACAAACTTGTTAGCTGGTATTTATGAAAACAATTCTATTACTGAAAATTTGAAACATAATTTATTATTTATTTAATATGAGTGCAAAAACTTTTGGATGCTGAAATAATGTGATTTAAAATAATGTTGAAAACTATGATACATAGGTAAGTGTTGCTTTTAGGGTGAGAAAACAAATGTGATTGCAATTAGAACATTTTTCTAAAAAGTATAGTACACTTGGAATAAAGAACAAAAAGTACATGATTTTTAAAAGTGCTACACATAACTGTTATTGAAAATAAAGAATGTTTTTGAAGGACTAATACCAAATACGCTTTTTAAATACATTTTCTTCTTTTTCTTTAATACAGGGTCATCTGCTGTTTTTTTTTTTTTTTTGATGGGCTGAAACTTGTAAAATGTAATTTAAAATACATTTAAGTAGAACTGCATTAATTATTTTAATGTATTGCAGTTTTTTCCTGTTTTTAAAGTGTACACATCAGTAAGACTACATTTTTATTATTTTCCTTCTAGATTTATTCCTGACAACATTGAATGCCACCACTAGTACCTTCCAGTTTGAGATATGGGAAAATTTGGTAAGAAATCTTTTCCTTGAAGCATTTTATACTGATGGCTTTCAGTAAAAGCACACAATTTTAGAAAATAAAATGAAAATAATCACTTGGTCGGTTGATTTCAACAATAAATAGAAAACTTTCAGAGCCTTTGGTTGCATTGCTGCATTTAAACTGCTGAATATTGCTGAAGGAAGTGATTCATTCAGCACCAATTCCTCTGCAGGTTTTTAGGCATGGCTGCCAATTAAACTAATCAGGCTGCCCTAATGTGCATGTTAACAGGACCCCTGCTATGCTGTCAGCTGTTGAGAGAGGTTACTGTCATTTAATTTGTCAACATGATGGCTTATGAAGAAAATTCTTTAAAAAAAACTAAATTTTCCCTTTTGCCTTTAGGCTTATATTAAGAAATAAGATAACAAACGCTAAACTTACTGCCAGGTTAACTAGGATTAAGAAATAGGTTTTTTTTTTTTTGTTTTTTTTTAATTGTAAGTAGAAGATTCCCAAGCCAATGTCATGATTTATTTTACTTTAAGCTTGATGTGAATTATGTGATCAGTTAATTAGTGAAGAATAAACGACCTGAAATCTTTTTTTTTTTTTTGAGAAGGAGTCTCTCTCTGTCACCCAGGCTGGGGTGCAGTGGCATGATCTCAGCTCACTGCAACCCCCGCCTCCTAGGTTCAAGCAGTTCTGCCTCAGCCTCCCAAGTAGCTGGGACTACAGGCGCACACCACCACGCACAGCTAATTTCTGTATATTTTAGTAGAGATGGGGTTTTACCATGTTGGCCAGGATGGTCTCGATCTCTTGACCTCGTGATCCGTCCGCCTCAGCCTCCCAAAGTGCTAGGAATACAGGCACCACCTGAAATCTTAATGTTAAATTTCAGGCTGCATAGTAGAAGACAGGATCTGAGATCAGACAAAACTAGCCATCACAGTGACATTCATGACATGTTTGTCAAGTATTGAACCTCACTGTCCACACACAGAAAATGGGTGTAAGAGCCTCTGCTTCACAGAATGTTTGTGAAGATTAAATAAAACAGCTTGTGTAACATGCCTTACACAGAGTGGACATTTATTGAATTTTTCAATCCAAATTAAACCCATACCTTTTTTTTTTTTTTTTTGAGACAGAGCTTTGCTCTTGTTGCCCAGGTTGCAGTGCAGTGGCGCCATCTCAGACCTCATTGCAACCTCCGCCCTATGGGTTCAAGTGATTCTCCTGCCTCAGCCTCTCGAGTAGCTGGGATTACAGGTGGCTGCCAACCACACCCTAATAATTTTTTCTATTTTTAGTAGAGACAGGGTTTCACAATGTTGGGTAGGCTGGTCTAGAACCCCTGACCTCAGGAGTTCTGCATGCCTCAGTCTCCCAAAGTGCTGGAATTACAGGCATGAGCCACTGTACCTGGCCAAACCCATAACCTTTTATAAATTTGATTAAAATACTTAAGAGAACTACACCAGTTTTTTAAATGTAAAGCACAAACTTGCGGAAGGAGATTCATTATCAGCCAGCTCTCATAGTATGGTCAGTGATGCTGATCATGACTCCCATCCCTTCATGAAAGGAAACTACGATGGGGGGTAGCTTTGTTTAGACAAAATCAGAGCTTCTAAGTACTTCTAAGCTCAGAAATTTGATTCTTTTGTGGAGGGGAATTGTGGAGGCGAGGGAAAGTAAGACATCTAAATCAAGAAAAGACTTATTTAATATGCTACTTTAAAAAATTAGTTATATTTGTTTTTTCTGATAATAGAAATACGGTTGCTGTGTTTTTTATGACTGCCATATGTTAAGTCCCCACTGCTGGGGGATGTTTATCTGCAGATGGCCTTTATTAGAAAATGAGAGGTGTATTTGATTAACGTGTATTCAGGGTCAGCGGGAAACCATATTATAAATAAGAAGAATATCTGTAGAACATCATGAAACACCCTTAAGTTTATGAGATTCTTTAAGTCTAGGCTGATTTAAATATAGTGGAGTAAAGCAACTCAATGAAGAAAATAGATTTTGATGGGGTCTTTTATTATTGTTTTCTTTAAGAAAATGAATAAATTGGCTGTTGGAAAATGGGGACTGAGGGTTGTCCCTGTTAAGTGGCTGAGTCAGTAAGTAAATTTTTTTTGTTAAAGATGGTAAGGCAGTTTTTCTTCAAGTGTACTCCTACAGTGGAGTTTTGCAATAGGGGAAAGAGATCGGACTCACCTCCAAATACAGCCAGGAAAATTGGGACATTATAACCAGTGAGCAGGATGGGGGTCAGTGAAAGGGAAATTACTACACGGGCAGGATAGTGGTTGGGCTTAGGTAAGCAGAGTTCTCGGAGGAGCCTGACCAAAGTTTGGTCAAGGAGAACATCTTTCTTAGTTTCCACAGTAACAATAGTTAATCATTAAAGTGTCATTTTCATAAAATGAGTGATCATTTTCAATTAAAGAATGAACAGGTACTTTGCAGTCACATACTAATTGGCCAAAAAATCCATCAAAACCTGTAAAACTATATTAGCCAGTAGGAGAATGAAAGCTGCCACAAATCTTTTTACATATCAGTTGTATGTATAGCCCCATGGTAGTGCTCTAGCAGATACAGAAGTGACTAGAGCTTATAGGCCAGGAGAGCAGCTGGGTTGTGCATATGGATGACCCTGGCTTGTATGATGAAATATACATTATGCTACAGGAATTCAAAGACCAGTTGCTTCTATCTGGTTCCAGAATTATCAGTGAAGGCTTCAAAAAAGATGTGGTATTTAGGCTGGGAACGGTGGCTCACAGGTGTAATCCCAATACTTTGGGAGGCTGAGGCAGCCAGATCACCTGAGATCAGGAGTTCGAGACTAGCCTGGCCAACATGGTGAAACCCCATCTCTACTAAAAATAGAAAATTAGCCTAGTATAGTGGTGCATGCCTGTAGTCTCAGCTACGCAGGAGGCTGAGACCAGAGAATCGCTTGAACCCAGGAGATGGAGGTTGTAGTGAGCCAAGATCATGCCATTGCACTCCAGCATGGGCGACAAGAGCAAAACTCCATCTCAAAAGAAAAAAAAAAGATGTGGTATTCCACATAGCTAGTATGAATTAAAGGATTTTAGTGATTGGAAGTGAGAAAGAGGAAAAGGTAGGCAAGGAAGTGCACAGGAGATACAGGAAACATCCAGAGAGTAGAAAGTGGCTGGTTTAGGCCAGAATATAAAAGAGATATTAGAATGTAAGACTAGAAAAATTGGTTTATACAAGATCAGAGTTGTTCTGTGAGCCAATCCAGCTGTGAATCCAAAGAGGGGGTGATGTGAACCCCAACTTGAAGCTGATTGGGCAGAAATATTGGAGGCCTGAACTTGGGACTGATGTCCAGGGTAATTTGGGGGACTGAGCCCTCAAACTGTAGAATCTGTCACTATCTCTAGGTAGGTAGTGTCAGAATTGAATTAGAGGACAACCAGGTTGTATCCACTGCAGAAATGATTGCTTGTTTGTGGTGGGGAAAAATCCCCCACATTTAGTCACAGAAGTCTTATGTGTCTCACACATTTGATTCTTATGTGAGAGCATAAGGGAGAAAACCAGTGCTCGTTTTTTCACTCAGACAAATCTACCGTATCCTTAGAGGAACAAAGAAGGAAAAACTCATTTTAAAGTATACAGATATCCTATATGAAGTATATAGGAATCAGAGTCAGTATCTCAAACAGCAAATAGAGACATCAATGATAAGAATTCTGTACAAACCTGAGAGCTCAAAATTTCAAATTTATTGTTTTGATTTCTTTTTCTTGTGTAGTAATCTAAAATTATAGAAGGGAAAGCCAATAATTTTCTTTTTAATTTAAAAAAATTTTTTGGAAGTCAGATGTATATTGTTTTTGTTTGGAAAGAGTAACTGAAACAGAGCCTCTCTAATAAGCTCTCCTTTTCTGCTTGGCTTGGGCACCTCTGCTTCTCAGTCAATACATGGCCACTGTTGTAATCCTTTGCCCCTCTTCTTATTGATAACTTAAATTGTTGATGGATTAGTCCTTTAAGGATCAATGGAATTCTCCTCTCATTTCACTATCTTTTCTTAATTGTTCCCAACAGAATCTCCTTCCCTTAAAATCTGCAAAATATGTCTTTGAACTTACCTATGCTATTTATATGTTACCGTCAGAAATTCTATCTTTCTGACTTTTACTCTATCTCCCAACTGGAGATATAAGCTCTTTGAGGGTAGGAACTAGTTTTGTAATTCCTTATACTTCCAAAGCCCTCCACAGTACTTGAAATTATTGCCCTCTGAAATTATGATGATGATTTGGTAAAAGATACCAGAATTGACAGCAAGGAAAGCATACCAGATTCACATTTTCTTCTACAACTCATGGGAGTTTCTTTTGCCTCAAAATAAAAGTAGAACAGGAGATTGGAATAATTTTTGTGCAATATAGCAAAACACTGAAATTATTTATTTCCTTAGTTCAGTTAGAATGCTTTGTGTCACACTTAAAAGACTGGATTAAGATGGTCTAATTCAAAGTTTTTTTCATTTAACAGGATGGAAACTTCTCTGTCAGTACCATCTTGGAAAAACCTCAAAATATGGTGGTGGTTGGACAGTCAGCATTTGCAGACTTTGGTAAGATTGCTTTTGCCTTTCCAATTCTCTCCATCTTTCTGACCTCGTATTAATTCCCCATACCAGGAAATAACTCCAGAGTCTTCAGAGTTATTATAGCTTCAAAGGATCCCTATTCTCTAATAGTATTGTACATGACATGTGGTCAATTTCTTAATGAAATAAGGAAAAATTTGTGACGTGTTTAAAAAATAGTTTGATACTGTTTGCAGGAGTAATATGCAAAACAAGGAAATCTACTGAGACTTCTCTAGAGAATACCAGGTATTAATTACCATAACTTCTTCATGTATATCCAACAAATGGAACAAATATAAGTGAAGGAGTTAATCTGACCTCTTAGAACCAATACTAAAAACCATTTTTTTTTACAACTTAATTTCAAAGAAGAGTAGTATCTGTCATGAATTACCAAAAAGAGGACATACGAATTTATGTTTTCCATAAGATTCTCCAGAATCAAGTTCACATTGGCCAGGAACTTCCAAAGCATATGTGGCTCTTTTCATCATTTGTCAAGAATAATCATTAAAAGGACTTTGTGTTAGATGGGAAAGTGGTCTGGGTGACCCCTACCTAAAAGCTGTTCATTGCCCATTCCCTTCCCGCTGATCCTTCATTATGCCAATAACCACTGTAGGCTTTCCTCAAAATGTAGATGAGATGTCACCATATTCAGATACCTCAGTTTCCTCATATATAAAATGGAAATGATAATAATATCCACCTCTAAAGCCTATTATGAATAGCACAATGCAAATAAAAAGCATTGCCAGGCTTATAGTAAGAGTACAAGAAGTTAGAGTTTGAGCTGGGTGCAGTGGCTGTTGCCTGTAGCCCAAGCTACTTGATAGGACTGTTTGTGCCCAGGAGTTCAAGTCCAACCTGGGCAACATAGCAGTACCTCATCTCAAACTGCAGTTTGAGTCTATTCATTGGACTTACCTGTTTTTTGTTCTTGTTGCCTCTGCTGCTCTGTACGCAGCTGACTAAATCAACTCACTGTTCAGTATCATATGGATGTATCCCAGCACAGCTAAACAAGGAAGTTTGATTATGTCATATCATGGACATTTTAACATAAATCTCTATGTTGCCCCATATTTTAGTTATATTGAGTATTATGTTAATTTTGAGTAAATTTCTGTTGCCTTTCCAGTTTTTAATGCAAATAGTCAAGTAATAGAACACATGACATTATTTTTTGGAATTTGCTGGCTAATTTGATTAGCTAAATTATTAACGGCTCTGTCTGAAAGTCTCTCTTTAGGAAAAATATATGTACTATAATTCTCAGGGAGTTCAGAGACCTCTCTGATCCCCTTAACCCTTGGCTAAAAACCTCCAAAATGAAGTTATACCCTTTATGATCATGTGTTTTATGATAAAATGCCTTATTTTTAACAAAATTATTAGTAGCTTTGCTTTGAGGTTTTTTTTTAACAATTTTGCTAAACATAAGCATTTGCATGTTAGTATTTTTAAGATGTGCAAAATATGAGGCACAAATTAAGAAACATAACTTCGGTAGTTTATCAGTAAACTTTTTTTAATGTATCAGTAAATTTTTTTTTTTCTTTTTTTGAGATGGAGTCTCACTCTGTCAGCCAGGCTGGAGTGCAGTGGCGCGATCTCGGCTCACTGCATCCTCCGCCTCCCGGGTTCTTGCAATTCTCCTGCCTCAGCCTCCCGAGTAGCTGAGACTACAGGCGCACACCGCCACGCCCAGCTAATTTTTTGTATTTTAGTAGAGACGGGGTTTCACTGTGTTGCCCAGACTGGTCTCAAACTCCTGAGCTCAGGCAATCCGCCCACCTCGGCCTCCCAGAGTGCTGGGGATTACAGGCGTGAGCCACCGCGCCCAGCCTTAGTAAATTTTTAATAAATATTACGTTAGCTTTTTTAAAGTTCATGTATTTTTAGTTGAATATTGGCAAAAAAGACTGCTGGATCCAAAAATATGAATATTAACATTTCAAAAATATGCATTTTTTCCTGTGAAAAGTCTACATTTGAATACGTTTGTGAGTTGCATCTAGCCTTCCATCTTACTTTCCACCTACTTCCTTTGAACCAAAACAAGGGAAGTGACTGACAGCCAGGAAATCAGCATGATTTCAGAAATTTACCATTCAGTTGATAAAGAGTGCACATGCTTAAATAAATGATGTAATTTACAAGAAGTCTGTACCAAAGAGAAGTGTTTTTAAATGGCCCACAGCTCACTTGTCTAAAAAAATAGAGAAGACCAGAAAGAAACACAGCAAAAGGATAATAATGGTTTTGTTAAAGTAGGATAATAGATTATCTTATTCCCTATTTTCCAAATTTTGTTTCGTGGTTAGGTTAATTTAATATGTTAATTTAGTAATGAAAAAGTAAATTATTGAGAAGTAATAGTCAACCATGGCAAGAAAGAAACTATAGTATATACCTGCTTCCCAGTAAAAAAAAAAGTGTTAAAATTTTCATCATAGAACTTCTGAGTTCATATAAAATTGATCCTATTTTCTGAGTGACATGAACGACTCATTTAGAAAAGGTCATATATGGCTGTATGTCGCAGTTTGTACCTGTCGTCTCAGCGTCTCACAGGGCTGAGGCAGGAGAATTGCTTGAGCACACAGGTCAAGGCTGCAGTGAGCTGTGGTTGAGCTACTGCACTCTATCCTAGGAAACAGGGTGAGACCTCATCTCTAAAAAAAATTTTTTTTTAAGATGAAAGAAGAGATTATATAGTTTCACAGCGTCTTTAACTCCAAATAAAATGCAAAAGTTAGACCTCTGAAAAAAAAATTAAACCTCTGTTATGTTTAAAATATTGAGCTGAATACTATGTCCGAAAACTGATTTTAAAGATAAGGTCCTTGCCTTTAAGAATTTTACAGGCCAGGTTCAGGGGCTTACACCTGTAATCCCAACACTTTGGAAAGCTGAGGCAGGAGGGTCACTTGAGCTCAGGAGTTTGAGACCAACCTGGGCCACATGACAAAACCCTATCTCTACCAAAAATACAAAAAGCTAGCTGGGTATGGTGGCACAAGCTGTGGTCCTAGCTACTCAGGAGACTGAGGTGGGAGGATCACTTGAGCCTAGGAGGCAGAGGTTGCAGTGAACAGTGATCATGCCACTGCACTCCAGCCTGGGTGACAGAGTGAGACCCCCGCTCAAGAAAAGGAAAAAAAAGAAATTTATATTCTAGTTGGGAAGATAGAATATGAATATGTAAAAAATCAATACAAGAGTAAAGCAGCAAGTAACTGCCATAATATAAGAGAAACCAAACTGCATTTCATTGTTGATTGTGAAATTAATGCCATGGAAAAAGTGCTATCTAAGTGTTGTGGCAATATAGATCATTCTAAGCTGAGAAAGGGTACAAAAGCCTCATGGAACTGGTGAGATTTTATAGTGGACTTTGAAGCAAATCTAAGATTTGGCTCAAAATATGCGGACATATAAAAATGATTTGGTTAGTGACTAGTGAATAAACCAGTTTGGGTTGAATCAACAGTTACTGTAAAAATGTAGAAGCATAATAAATGGCCTGGGAACACATTAGATTACCAAATGAATAACAGATGAACAAATGTTGATTTTATTTTGTAGAAGTGATGGGAAATAGTAGAACAATTTGAACATCTCTTTGCTAATACCTTTTTTATTAACTTCAGAAAGTAAAGTTGAACAAAATCTGCTGGTCTGGTGGGATATGCATAATATAATGCTTCTTGGGCATGCCGTAGGAGTTCAAAGGAAGATTATTAGAATCCCAGAGGTACCTGAGATTTTGATGTTAAAAGAGAGGCAGATTTAAACAGTCTTAAAATACAGTATTTTCTAAAGGTGGAAAACACTCAGGAGACAGGTCAGGGCATGAGGTGGTGAGAGCCAGAGCTGAACTACATCAGTATGTGGAGGGAATCAGTAAATTTGCTGATTGGTTTGACGCTAGGGAGAGTAGAAAGTATAGTAAAAAATTGACTCTGAATAACCTAAAGAAGGGCGATACTATTCACAAAGATAGGTAAATCAGGAGAGAAAGCTGAATTAGGTACTGAGATGCTTTAAAGTTACCATATTAATCATGCTGCAAAGACAACAAAGTCATCATGTTTAGCAGACCTAAGCTGAGGGAAAAAGCCAAAGCAGGTGTGAGAGCCCTTTAAGAGGGAAGAGGTCAAGACTGGGATGAGCCCTCCAAAGAAGGTGTAAAATAGAGGTTGACAGAGGGCTAAGGAGGAAGAAAAGTAGGTGCTAAAAGGTGGTCAAAAAACATCTGCAGATATTAAAATGTGGTGCAAGAAGATCAAAAAAAGACCTTTAGATTTTTATTTTAGTAGAGTATTGGTGGCCCAAAAGTTACCATTTGCAGAATTCTCAGAGCAGTCCCTGAGTCATAGAAATTACCCAGTAAACACTTGCTGCTACTGGTATCAGATGAGGTTCTGGACCCTAGTCTCATATTTGGAACATCTGCAACCCATAAATGTCTCTCATAGCTAAGCAATCATCAAGGAAGCTGTATCTTCTAGAATACATATTTTTGTCTTGCCCTACTATGTCATCCTTTTAAACTGTATGTTAATCTTGAGTCTTCTTCTACATAGGCTCTGAATATCAGATTCTAGAATTCCTATAATAAGATCTTATCTCTTGTTAAATTATATAGGACAAAAAGTCAATAGAAATTAGACTGAGAGAAAATGCATGTCAATTTCATATATAATACTAGATGTAGTGGAAATCAATAAAAGCTATAAAACTGAAGGAAAAACAGAAATCTTATATAGAATGTCAGCATTTTTTGTAGATTGAATTATTGTAAATGTCATATAAATTTATTTATAAATTATCCAGATCTCATGCTAACTGTTGTGTATCACATCTCCAGCAGGAGATCATACTTTCTTCTTCAAGTAAAGAAAGAATACTGGGCATGATGAACTCAGCCTTGGAATTGTCAGTCAGATCTAGATAATCCTATAAAAAATAAAGGA